TAGACAAACCTCATCCATAGTCTCTTCAGATTTGGTTTCTTTGGGTTTATCTTCATTAAGCTTCACATTTTTAACTTGCTCAGACACTTTACTTACACTTTCAGTACCCTTGAATCGCTGTAAAAAAATATTCTAACATTAACATTTAGGACAGGCTAAACATTAGAGGGGCATTCAGATTTTAAGCCTCTCAATAAGCATCTGCATGATGAATACAGGTTATATAACACAAATTTAATTCACCTAAGGAAACCACCTAAGAACAAAGGAAGAAATATGTTAAGCATTTTAATAAAGCATGATGCTAAGATTAGCTAACAATATAAATTCTGAAATAAGAAACATGACCTTTAGAAAAGCCAACTCAGACTTGTGACATATGAATACTATTCAAACAGCAGCTTCTTTTTTTTTTTCTTTTTTGTGGTGCTAGGCATTGAACCCAGGGTAAGGCAAACTTACCTACCAACTGAGCTATATCCCCAGTCTTCAAACAGCTTCTTAATAAAGATTATTTTCTGTGGAAGACGATCATTTCATAGTGAACAAATATTAGAGAATACATTAAAACGTTTTTCTAAAGGCTCATCTTAAATCAGAACCAGTCATTAAATTCTGTAGTGAAATGGGCCTTACCTTCCTCCATATAACATTTTATATACAGTGTAAATGCTTCATATGATAATACCAAATGACTAATGGATTTATCATTTAAGAATCTGTTGTCAGGAAATTATTTTTAAAAATCTGGTCCCTTTCAAAATATCAAAAGATGCTGAACAGAGTGTTGCCTACCTGTAATCTCAGCAACTCAGTAGGCCAAGATAGGAGGATCACAAGTTCAAGACCAGACTTGGCAATTTAGTTCAATCCCCAGTCCACAGAAACAGAACAAAACAAAACAAAAAGCAAAACCCTCAAAATACCAAAACATTGTGCCATACTGCAGGTTAGTTTTGCTAGATTTGATAGCTAGTCCAATTATGATTATAATTAAGAAAGATTGCAGGTGGAAAAACTCCCAATTCTGCAAATAAATACATTTAAAACCTCTCTTTGGAAATAAAATTTCTAAAATGATTTCTGCTCATAGAATGTAAAAATACTCACCTTACTTTCAAACAGGTGGTTATAGGCTGTAACCAAATGGTCCTTATTAGCTGTCTTGGCTACATTTTTAATGTTGCCTAATAACTTATGCTCTGCAAGAAACTACAAAGAAAAAAGCTGGTTACTCAAAATAATTCCCCTCAAGAAGGCTCTAAGATAAGGTTTAGAGCTAAGTGTGATTATGTGGCCTATGGTCCTAGCTACTTGAGGGGCTGATGTAGGATTGCTTGAGCCTAAGAGTTTGAGACCAACTTGAGCAATACAGTAAGACCCTGTCTCAAAAAGAACAACAAAAAAAATTAGCAAATGACCTTTCAATGTTAGCTATGTTTTCAAAAGTATTAATAAAGATGAAATAAATGCTTTTGGGAGCCTGTAGCTATGCTGGGCATGGCTCTCTTAACCTATCTGTAACCCATAGCTGGTTAAGAATGAGTTACACACAGGTTAAGATAGCCAGAATCATCTATCTATATATGGGCTGTAAAGTCCTATTATCTTGGCTAAAATCCACCTCTCTGATCTTGTACAGAGGACAAAGCCTTCCACTCCATATCTGTAGTGGAAGATTAATAACAGAATCTGTTAAAGAACTGTGATAAGGATAAAATGCAATAATCCATTTAATGCATTTAGCTAAAAATGTGTTGCATGGTAAGAACTATTAGCTATAATGTATTAAGTAGCTCACAGTAATCAGAATTCTTTTTTTTTTTTTTTTTAATATAAGACTGTAAGTTGGGCTGGGGATGTGGCTCAAGCGGTAGCATGCTCGCCTGGCATGCGTGCAACCCGGGTTTGATCCTCAGCACCACATACCAACAAAGATGTTGTGTCCGCTGAGAACTAAAATAAAATAAATATTAAAAATTTTCTCTCTCTCTCTCCTCTCTCTCTCTAAAAAAAAAAAAGACTGTAAGTTGACAAATGGACACCAAAATACCACTACTGAAACATCAAGTTGTGGTAGGCTCATCTCAAAATCAGGTAATGTTAATGTCAAATAATTTTCATGATGTCATTTTATTTTATTTTGCTTCCTTTCTTGCCTTGTGGTCCTTATTAGAGTTCTCCATTTTATTACTTTTTCAAAGTTGTCCCTTGGTGTCTCCTGTTTTTCTTTCTCTTTTTGTGGTACTGGGAACTGAACAGGCCTCAGGTATATCAGGTAAGCACTCTACCACGGAACTACATCCCTAGTCCTTCAGTTTTTCTAACATTATCACTACTCCATTTTTCCCCCTTTGCTTTTGCTTTCCTTCTTTTGAAGAAATGTTCTAAATGATAAAGGCTGACTGGAGAAAGGAGATAAAGTTGATTATCTAGAAATAATCAGTTGCATAGCACTCATGACTTTAGGAAAAGTTCAAGAAAAATACCTAAAATATAAACATCTCTTCGATGTAATCAATAAAACGATGACTGTAAATTATAGCAAATATAGGTTTATGTAAGTGAATGTTCCACAGAGAACATGCATTTAAATGATTAATGTTATATAAATATAATACAAATCTCTGGAATTGTCCCACTTTGGCCTACATGACATTAGATTCACATTGGGATGATCTGTTTTATAAGAATTTAATGAAATACAATACTGAGGTATTGTTACAATATTTGTACTCATTTCTATTGTTTCAGTTGAAGTATTACTCCTTAAGAGAAAATAATTTCATTAAAATGGTATAAGATCCCTGACATAGGGTCTTTTCCTCCTATTCTCAAAAGCAGGAAAATAATAACTTTAAAACATAGGTTTAAATACATGAATGATCACTAGAGAAAATTCATTTAAATGACTTGTAGTTCAGCAATTATGAAAGTTATAAAGGATCTTCATTTTTGAAGGACAAAAAAAGTCAGGTCTGACAAAAATAACCAGAGACTACAATTGGGTGGTTATGATAGAAAGTATGCTAAAAAATTTAGGGCACACATCATAAACAATACCAAAAAGATTTCTTAATCTGATTGTTTATAACTCTGGGAGACCACTGTGTACACATAACTTCGTTAATACAAAGATGAAAATGGTTCAATATTTTTCTAAGAAGTTCAACCACAATCTACAGACTTTTGAAAAATCACATGGATTAATGTTTGTTATTTAGTGAATTGGTGAGGAAAGCAAGGTGCACATACAGTTCCCACGTAAATTTCAAATTCCTCTCCATTTCCCTAGTAGACAGCATTCCGCTCCAGGCCAGGGTCTCACTCAATCCTATTCCCCGCCTCAGCCACCAACATCTCCGGGTTCCTTTTTTCTGGCCTCCACCCTCATTTAAAGATCCCAATGGAGTTTTAATTTAGCGATTGCAGCCTGAATGTCTTAGAAAATAAGGCCATTCCCCCGCGGAAGTAGGGCCGGCCCAAGGGGCGGGAGCGCACTGGAGCCGCTCCGACCTTCCGCGCCACGGGCCGCGGGAGGGCGAGGGCGGGGGCACAGAGGAATACGGAATGCATGGGCATCTCCAGGGGGGGTGAGGCGTCCCTCAGCTGAGCCAGCCCGGCCTCCCAGCCGCCTCTGGTACCGAGTCTGAACCGTGATCCTGTAGAAACTTGATAATGTCCTTCTTGGGAAGCTGCTCACTGCGCAGCTGCTCCACGGTCCACGCCCGCTGTGGAACGGCCGCCGCCATCTTCCCCCGCCGCCTCTGCTTTACTGAGCCAGCCCGCCTCACTTCGGCGCCGCCCCGCCCCTGGGGCGTGGCGTGGGCTCGCACGGAGCTTGACGGGGCGTGGTCAGTGCGCTACCGGGTGGGATTGGTGCCTGTATTTGAGTGACGTCAAGGCCGTGCTATTGAGGGCTTCTTTGTTGAGTGGGTGTTAAAACCCTGCAAAAGTGGCCACGCCGGTCGACTGCGCAGAAAACATCCCGCAGTATTATATTCTCGTTTGGACCGCTTGTGGGGCGACCTCTGACGGTAGTGATGTTTACCAGCCGCTACCCACACTATTTATTACTATGGCCTGCTAAGACTTAAAGGTCCAGTCTATAACCTGCTTAAAGAAAACAACATTCAGACTCCTAATCTCATTTTTAGCTAGTTACATCCTAATGATTCATCTCTGAATTGGCTCTGTCCTTGTGTTAGAACAATCCATACCAAGCTAATTCCTTATTAAAGCTCACATAAACGAAACCTAAATACAAACCCCTTTCTTCCTAACGGAAAGCGAAAATTTTGTTCAGAAATTTGAATAAAATAAAGAAGCTCTACTTTAGGCTGCGACTTACTGATGATGGGTGGCATTATTAATGCTTATAGCAGCTACGTGGTGTATTTGTACTTTTCATCAAGAGGGAACAAATTTGTAGATTAAGTCATTAGGTTTCAAGTAGAGAAGCCAGGAATTGCATCCAAGTCCAGGTAGGCTATAACTAACGGTAGAGTAATCGCACATCTAAATTCACTGCTCTAAATCTGTAGTAAAGATGAAATAGTGGAACTTCAGAATATCTTTTATTAATTTTCTAACGAATAACGGGACCAGCCTACATTCACTTTCCTTTGAATAGTAAATTGTTAGAATAATGGCTTGCCAATCCCAACACAGTGAAACGATCAGGCAGTTTTCTCAGTCTAGAGAGAGGAATAAGATATATCTTTAATTTTATCTACGCTATTTTGATTTTCACCACATCACCTGACTTAAGTGCTCAATAACGTTAACTTCACAAAATTATGAGCATTCCATTGTCTCCGGGATCTCAAGGTCATTTATTTTAATCATTGTAAACGGTATCACGTTCGCAATGACTTGCAGACACCTAATCGAGGGAAACGGAACTCAAATTCAGAGTCTGCTAAAACTGTGAAGGGGACTAAATTTAGAGCAACTCCGTAGCAATGCGCATGCGTCTCCAGGAGGTCATGGAGTGTTTCCGGGAAGCAAGCCAATCGTATTCCCAACGCAAACTCAGTGGCGGCATTTTCAACTGGATGCCTAGCTGTGTTCCGCCCTCTGGTTCCTTAGCTTTGTATGCAGGAAACTGATGGAGCTCGGAACTGAGCGGGTAAAACCGCTGTGGATCTCGGTTCCTGAAATAAGCTTTTGGTGGACATCGGCCTCATGAGTGGACGGCAAAGAACGCTTTTCCAGACGTGGGGCTCAAGCGTTTCCCGATCTGTTGGGACTCCTAGTTGCAGCTCCGGAACTGAACGGCCTCAGGCCTGCTCAGAGGCGCGTTTATCTGCCGCGGCTGCGTCTCAGCCGGAGTCGGACGATGATGTGTTACTAGTCGCAGTGTACGAGGCTGAGCGGCAGCTGAGTCTAGAGAATGGCGGGTTCTGCACCTCAGCGGGTGCCCTGTGGATCTACCCCACTAATTACCCTGTGCGGGACTACCAGCTGCGCATCTCCAGGACCGCTCTGTTCTGCAACACTTTGGTGTGTCTTCCTACCGGGCTGGGAAAGACCTTTATTGCCGCGGTGGTCATGTACAATTTCTACCGCTGGTTTCCTTCCGGCAAGGTTGTTTTTATGGCCCCCACGAAACCCTTGGTGACACAGCAGATCGAGGCTTGCTACCAGGTGATGGGTATCCCGCAGTCCCACATGGCCGAAATGACAGGTATTTGAGAAAGGATGGGTTGATTTGAAAATAAGAGCTTTATTTCTAGGGATAAACATACGTTGTGGTGGAAATAGAGCTAAAGAAATTACTCATGCATGTGGAATACTTACTAGATCCAAATATTCTCATTTTATATTCTTTCGGAATGTGGTAGGTCCAGCACTGATGAACAGGATTGTTTATTAAACCTTCAGAGAATCCCTGTGGTTTGTCAGTATTTTGAAGCATTCGTGTATTATATCCCTTGAGCATTCTTACTAAGAATGATTTCCCAGTTGAAGAATTTGCTTCGCTTCTAACATTATGCCATTTTGCAGGAATTATAAGGACGGTCTATTTAAATGATGCTCTTTGACATTTGGGGCAAATTAGAGATTTAACATGTAGCATTCCAATGAGTTGTTACATTGTTCTCCACTTAAGCACATTCCTAAAGCATGATTACATTTTGAAGATTGGCTAGACTGTTTTTGTTTTAAAAATATCAGTCTGGGTCTGGGGATATAGCTCAGTTGGTAGAGTGCTTGCCTAGCATGCCAGTCTGGAGTTTAAAATATAGACTTTCACTTTATTTACAGGTTCCACTCAAGCTTTCACCAGGAAGGAAATATGGTGCAGTAAGAGAGTCCTTTTTCTTACACCTCAGATCATGGTAAATGACCTTACTAGAGGAGCTTGTCCTGCTGCTGATATAAAGTGTCTGGTTGTTGATGAAGCTCATAAGGCTCTTGGAAACTATGCTTATTGTCAGGTAATAATTTTGTAAAATAATATTTAGTAGTTTACCCATATTGTTAAGGAGTATTTTGGGGGATAGTTATTAGTAGTGGAACTTACTGATGGTACTCTAAAAGCCTTAGATTTATTTATGATCTCAACAAATGGTGATTGTAAATAATTTTCCTTCTCCACTCAAATACCTCTACTCTCATTTTTTTTTTTTTTTTTTTTTTTAACATTAACAAGACCACTAGCGTGAGATGTGGATTTTGAGAGCCTGGTTATGGTTGGGGTAGTGATTTAAAGTAGGAGATGGGTGCTAAATTACATGCATGTATGATTATGTCAAAATGAACCCAACTTTTAGGCATAACTAACGCACTAGTTTTTATTGAGGAAACTTTGCTTCTTCTGTTCTGCTTAAGGACCACATTGTGAAGGCATTTGATAGTTTGAAAGCACTTAATAGGCCACTGGGGATATAAATGGTAGATACTCATTAAAAAATGTTTAGCTGAGGTGATATAATTTGTGAGATTGGAGGGGTGAAGGCTAAAGGCAGAGTATCTGATAGGAGAAAAGTAGGAAAATTCCCCGGTTTCTGACTTGGAGAACTGAATATGTGAAAGTTCTGGAGGCAGAGCAGATTTAGGTGAGCATGGAAAGCTCTTGAGTGCCATCTTAAATGCATTGAGTTTGGAGGTGTCTCAGAAAAATCCATGTATAGATAACCATTAGACACTAGGTGATAATATGGATCTCAGTGGAGAGTTTTGAGCTAGAAGTATTTGGGAATTATCAGCATCTAGGTAGTAACTAAAATTTTTGTAATAGCTGCCAATATTAGGAAGAGGGTCTAGAGTAAGAATAACAAAGGGAAAAATTAGAGAAAGTTTACGTCAATTAATGTGAAAACATGATTTTACCTGCTATTTTATGAATTTGTAGTTTCCTTGCAGACTTTGTTATTGTACTCTATTTCTAATATCCTGAGGAAAACCCTCATCTTTCTTATATTTGATCTTTTAAAATATATCCAGGAAATGGATATGTCTTTTCAATTATGTATTGAGATTTCCACTTTATAGGGATATTTTAAAAATTGTTATAACTATATGGGATTCATTTTGTAAGTTATATTTAACTTATTTATTTTCAAAAAATTTCTAGGCATTAGGTTTTTTTTTGAAACTGCCAGCTTTATGATTTTATTGCATACAATCAAACATGGATTTGAATTTGTTAATAACCAAATAGTCCTGAGTTTGTGCTACGCAAAGATTCCAGAGTTAATTTGCAATAGGCGCAACAGCTCCATGAAGCATCTAGCTTCCTATGTTAAGAAAACAGAGCACCATTTCCTCTTTTCCAAGATGGCTTAAGAATCCCTCTTGATAAGAAGCAATGTATTTGGCCTATTTTTCATGTGTAACAATTTTGGAAAGTCTGTTGGTACATGTGGCATATAACAATAAAACTATTTCATTCTGAACTGCCAGAACTGGTTTATAATCTGAAAGAAGATTTTGAATTCTGGCTATCATAGAAAAGGATTTTTAAAAGACACTAATCCAACAAGTGATCTATCTGTTTAGATCATCTTTCTTTTTGTATTTTTTATCCTTCAGTGATATCTGAGGACATCACTTATCACTTATCACTTCTGGCACCAAGGATATTTGTGTTCCAACAGGTTTTTTTTTTTTTTTGGGTCATGCTGGTGATTGAACCTAGGGCCTTACATATGCTAAACAAGTGCTCTGCTACTAAACTACATCAGTTCTTAATTAGAATATTTCTACTTAGGTCTCTGTTGAGTATAATGTTATTTCTTCATATGTAATCTGGGTTATGTTAAAAATTTCATAAATAATATTACTGAATCTTAATCAGGATTCAGAATGAGTCTCATTAAACCTAAATCATTTGCTTTTCAGATAATAGACAAGTGGTAGTTCCACTCTGAACTATCACTGCCATTGGAATAATGATAATAGACTAGATAGAACAACTTTATTTAGCAGAACTACTATTATTTTTGCATTGGACTGATGAAATTAGAGAATTTTTTTTTTTTTTTTTTTAGGTTGTAAGAGAACTGGTCAAGTACACAAATCACTTTAGAATCTTGGCTCTTAGTGCCACACCAGGTAGTGATATGAAGGTAAGTAAAATGTTTTTCCATTTATTAACATTTAAGAAAATAAGAATTTCTGTATGGGGCCAGATCATTTTTCCATTCTAATATTTATATAGTCTGACTTTAGTGTCTCCTCTAACAGGCCTAACTTTTCTTCTATGTTTGTAGGCATTTCTTTAAATCAGGTTATTTATTTATTTATTTATTTTTTGAGATGGGGTCTGGCTGTGTTGCTCAAGCTGGGCAACAAACAATCTTCCTGCTTTATCCTCTAGATCAACTGGTACTACTGGTATGTGTTACTGTACCCACAAGATTAGTACTTTTCTGAATTAAGTGTGCATAAGAATCACCTAAAGCTATTTGTTAAAAATACTGAATTTTTCAATAGTAGCATTTATTTGTTTTGGTTTTTTTTTTTTTTTTGGTTTTTTTTTTTTGGTTCCAGGGATTGAACCCACTGAGCCACATCCCAATCCCTTTTTTTACATTTTATTAGAGACAAGGTCTTGCTGAGTTGCTCAGGGCCTCACTAAATTGCTGAGGCTGGCTTTGAACTTTCGATCCTCCTACCTCAGCTTCCTGAGTTGCTGGGATTACAGGTGTGTGCCACTGCACCTGGCTTAATAGTGTATTTTAAAAAATTGTTAGTGTTTTTAGTTCTTTTTAATTAAAGCATAACTTTGCAATGACTTCAGATGTCCAAAAAATTTGCCCAAATTGCAGTTTTTATAACTCCCTTAATTAGCCTCCCCAATGTTAGCATTTATATAAGTATAGTACAGTTATCAAATAAAATTAACATTAATATGTTAGTAATTAATCTGCCAGTCTTATTCAAATTTTGGCCGTTTTTACAATCATTTCTTTTTCTGCTCCAGGATACAGTCTAGGATCTCACATTACATTGGATTGTCATGTCTCCTTACTCCTTTCCAATCTTTTATAATTCTTTAGTCTTTTCTTGTTTTCCATGATCTCCATGCTGTTGTATAGTAGGTACTAGTTATTTTGTAGAATATTATTCAATTTGGGATTGTCTGATATTTCTCATGATGGAGTAAGGTTTTACATTTTTGTGAGAATATTCTAGAAGTGATGTTGTACTTTCTCAGTGTATAAGGGAACACATGATATTGATTTGTCTTATTAGTGATGCTACTAATCCTGACTTGGGTAAGATGATGTTTTTGCATTTCTCAATTGTAAAATTAATTTTCCCCTTTGTGATTAATAAATATCTTGTGGGGGAGATATTTTGAGACTATGTAAATATCCTGTTTTACATCTACCTAAGGTTTTCACTGCTAACGATTACTTCTGTGGTGTTTGCTTAATCATTGGTTCTTTTTTCCATGTCTTTTACATTCTTACTTTGAATTCTATAATGAAGAGTTGTATTTTTTCTCCTCCAATTATAATTATTTTAGTTCTTTATTTATATCCACATAGACTAATGGATATTTATTTCTTCTATGTACTACAATCCAACACTCTTTTTTAAAAAATTGTTTTTTGGGGGGCTGGGGATGTGGCTCAAGCGGTAGCGCGCTTGCCTGGCATGCGTGCGGCCCAGGTTCGATCCTCAGCACCACATACAAAGATGTTGTGTCTGCTGAAAACTAAAAAGTAAATATTAAAAAAATTTCTCTCTCTCTCTCTCTCTCTCTCTCTCTCTCTCTTAAAAAAAAAAATTGTAGTTGTAGATGAACAGAAACTATTTTACTTGTTTATTTTTATGTGCTGCTGAGGATTGAACCCAGTGCCTCATATATGCTAGGCAGGCACTCTGTGCTGAGCTATAGGCCCAGCCCCTACAATTCTACACTATTAACAGCAGTTTTGTTTTTCAGATTGTTTCAGCTTTGGCTATTGGGAGCTCCTTCAAGATGGCTCCTGTGTCTTTTAGACATGCTTTTTTCCCACTAGTTAAAGTGCGTCCTAACTTTCTGGCATCACACGATATTTTATTTTAGTATTTTTCCTGTCTCAGCCATGGAATCAACCATTTCTCTTGGGAGCTCTTGTTTCCTTTATTTGGAGAATGATAAAATTGCAGATTTTTCTTTGGTAGTGGGGTTGAACTAGGCCTTTGTACTTGTTAAGCACACTTTTTACTCTGAGCCATATCTCAGCCCCTAAGATGCAGAATTTTGAGCCATATTCTATATTATCTTGGTTGTAGTACTTCTAAATGGCTTCTGTTGTACCCCTGCCATGCTGAAAGACTTTTCCTGTCCGTAGCCTTGATAATGTTTTTAGAAATTTCTTTTACCCCTTGTTTAAATATGCTTAATTGTTTTTCAGATACTAAATCTCTGCTTAAATTTCATTCCTTTAAGAAAGATCCACTTTAAGCTATCAAAAATCAGCTTTCCCTATTTTGTTATTTTTTCTTAGACATTTTTCATAGCCTGTCATTCTTTTGCCCATTTTTTTTTTGTTTGTGTATTCCACTAAAATGTCAGCTACATGAATGTAGTGGTTATGACTATTCTATTTTTAGTTCTATTACTAATTTAGTGGCTGGCCTGTGGGATTACTTGAACGTTGGTCGAATTAATGATTTATTGAAAATATTGAAATTTAATTTTATGAAATAGTAATAAATGCACTCTAGATTTTGAATGTATATAGATCCTCAGTAACTGTAGTGTACTATTTTAGGCAGTGTGGTAGGTGTTGTGAATACAAAGGTGACTTGAAATATGATTCTTGTCCTAGGATGGTTTTTACTTAAACTAAGCCCCTGAGGCATTCTAGTGTTTAAAAAAAAAAGTACCTAATTTCTAGACACTTTCAGGATCCCTTTTCTTTTGTTTGTTTGTTTCTTTATGACTTTTAAATCACATTTTCTGTGTTATAGTCTTCTGATGTTGTAGTTGCTTATACCTAAACGTTATATCTTTTTTGCTCCAGTTCCCTGGTTTAATAATTGAGTTCCATTATATGCTTTAGATGAATGAAGTTTAGCCCAGAAATATATTCACAACACTTACGTTAATTTAAATGAAAAATTTCTACTAATTTATTAAAAGTTGTATAGTAGGTACTAGTTATTTTGTAGAAATAACTAGTACCTACTATTATATTACAAGTCCATTTATAAACTATTCCTAAGATACATTGGTTTCCTTTAATAGTTCTCTCTGCTTTTCCCATAAAAATATCAGTAGAAAAAAAGAATTATGCCAGGTAATGAGGAAACCTGTGTTCTAATTCTGGCTCTGAAATTGACTCTGTTTTATAAGCTTTTGGGGATTTAGTTTGCTAATCTACAACTTTGGTTTTGTCTAAAACTTTTTTTTTTTTTCCCATTTGGAAAGTGCCAAAATACATTTGAGGAACTTGTTGGACATTTACTAATATTCTTATTTCTTGGATGCTTGGCTTGAAAGGTTGTGGGGGGAAAAGATGTTCAAAAGTATTTTCCCTTGTTGTGCTACTTGTGATATACTTGGTTAATAGGCTTGTCTTTTTTCTTTTCTCTTTGAAATTTAATGATATGAATTTCTAGTGCTTCTTTCAACATTTTATTGCTATTTTATTAGTAAGTTAAACCCCCCAAATTTAATGTGATATAATTTATAATCATACTTGATTGATTTTACATAGGCAGTGCAACAGGTTATTACCAACCTACTAATTGGTCAAATAGAGCTTCGTTCTGAAGATTCTCCAGATATTTTGCCATACTCTCATGAAAGGCGAGTAGAAAAGCTTGTTGTTCCCCTTGGTGAAAAACTTGTTTCCATTCAAAAGACATATATCCAGGTAAGCCGTTTTTAATCACAATTCAGGTTTTTTGTTTTGTTTTGTTTTTGGGTTTTTTTGGGTGCCATGGATTGAGCTCAGAGGCATTCAACCACTGAGCCACATTTCCAGCCCTATTTTGTATTTTATTTAGAGACAGGGACTTACTGAGTTGCTTAGTGCCTGGCTTTTGCTGAGTCTGCCTTTGAACTCAGGATCCTCCTTCCTCAGCCTCCCAAGCCACTGGGATTACAGCATGCGTCACTGTGCCCGGCTACAATTTGGGTTTTGATGGATGAACTGGTATTATAATTATTTCAGAATCTGGTTGTGAGATATACAGTTTCTCATTGTATATAATTAACATGTGAGAAATTTTTTGGAATGAGCATCATGTTTTATATGTGCTAACCAAGTATTATGTTTCATAAGAGACCATTTCTAAAGCCAATTGTAGCTTTTTTGTTTTTCTCTTTTCTTTTTTTCTTGTACTGAGGATTGAACTTGGGACCTCACACATGCTAGGCAAGTGCTCTACCACTGAACTACAATCTGAGCCTCCAGGTTTTTTTTTTTTTTAATATTTATTTTTTTAGTTGTATACAATATCTTTATTTTGTTTATTTATTTTTATGTGGTGCTGAGGATCGAACCCAGGGCCTCACATGTGCTAGGCGAGCGCTCTACCGCTAAACTACAACTCCAGCCCCAGGTTTATTTTTTTAAGTAAATATTTTAACTTTAGTATGAAACACAGACCTATCTAAAGAGCAATCTACACAAAACTTGAGTTGTTGAGTGAATTTTCACAAAATGAACATACCCATAACATACACCCAGAATCAGCCAGAAGTTTCCTTGTAATGAGATATATTTTTAATATTTTTCTTCCTTATCCTTTGTATAACAGTTCTCAAGTGAAAATGATTTTGCCCATTTGGTGACATGGCAATGTCTTGACATGGATTGGGTTGTTTTGGGTTGTTATAACTGGAAGCCACTAAACATCATATAATGGACAGGATAATCACCTTATAATGAAGAAATTTCTGGCCCCCAAGTATCAATATTGTAGCTGTTGAAAAGTTGCTTAGACAATTGTTACTTTAAATAGGAGAAATCTGAGGTAAGGCATTGTTTTTCTGTAGTTCATAATTAGTCTCGTAGTAGGAGAACAACATGTTTTTACATCTACATAGGCAAGGATTAAAGGTGGCTGCAATTTATTTGCCACTTCTTGCCCTGAGAGATGAGATAAAATTTCCCTTCTCTTAAATCTAGGCTGGCCCTGTGACTGACCTATATAGAATGGGATGACCAAGTTAGCCATAACCAATCTCAAGTTAGTCATTTTGAGAGGAAAGCAGGAGCAAGTCGTTAGGTAAAATCAAGAATCCAAATATATGGCTTCAGTCAAATTACTTCTTGTTGCCAGTTGTCTGAGACACCAGACATCAAGGAAGTGAGACAAGTGTTCCCTATTATGCTGTCTCTAGGTTTTTTTGTTTGTTTGTTTGTTTGTTTTGTTATCAGGGGTTAAACCCCAGGAAGGTTAATCACTAAGCCACATCCCCATCCCTTTTTTTTTTTTGGAAGTTGTAGATGGACAGAATGCCTTTTTTTAGTTGCAGTTGGACACAATACCTTTATTTTATTTATATATTTTTATGTGGTGCCAAGGATCGAACTCAGGGCCTCAAACATGCTAGGCAGGTGCTCTACCGCTGAGCCACAACCCCAGCCCATTATTTATTTTTATGTGGTGCTGAGGATTGAACCCAGTGCCTCACGCCAAGTAGGCCAGAGCTCTGCCACTAAGCTACAGCCTCAGCCCCCCAGTCCTTTTTATTTTTTATTTTGAGACTGGATCTTACTAAGTTGTTTAGGGCCTTGCTGAGTTACTGAGCTGGCCTTGAACTTGTGATCCTCTATCTCAGCCTCCAGAATCACTGGGATTACAGGTGTGTACACCTGCCTGGCTAGAATACTTGTTTAGGCAATGTGATTAGAAATGCTGGAAGGGAAGAAGAGAAATCTACTAATATAACTATTTTATGAAATAAAAATTAGGCAAAATTTAAACAATTACATATTGCTGTAGTAGGTCTTCATTTGAAAATCTCTTTTTTTCTTCAGTGCGCCATAAGCTTATTCCTGTCTCAGGACTCTTGGTCTGCTATTTCTTTTCTGGAATGCTCTATCTTGAAAACTCACAAGGTGGACATACCTCATTATTCACATGGCAACTCAAATATTTTGTATTCAAAGATTGTGGAGCATTATTGTGTTTTAGAGTCTTAAGAGCCTTTATCATTATCAATATTACCTACTTTAATTTTTCAGGTTTTTTTCCCTCTCTAGTATTGGGGATTCAACTTACAGCTTTGAGTATGTCAGGCAAGTACTCGACCACTGAACTATATCTCCAGACCTGTCTCTGTTTACTACTTCTTCTTCTTTTTTTTTTTAATTTATTTTTTAGTTTTAGGTGGACACAATTGCTGCAGTCTGGCTGGGCATAAAATCACGAGCCACTCACAGCTTTGTAGATTCAAACAGCAATTCTTTATTCCCGAACTCACACCGGCCCTCTACAAACATGTTTTGGGGAAATTCTCGTACTCTACCAGGCTCTAATCAGCAGGATACGCCCTATTCCCAGCAGGGTACACCTTAAACCTGAAACTACCCTAAACCCAAGGATACTCCCTAAAACCAGCAGGATACACCCTAAACCTGGATCCGCCCTAATCCAGTAGGATCCTCCTTAAACCCGGATCCACTCTGGTCCTTGAGCAGGGTCACCTTTCTCAAATATACATGCAATGTCACTGCGAATGTCCAAGGCAAGTCCATTTCCACGAGTCCTTCCTCTAAGCAACATGGGGTACGCTGGCAAGGAAATTGTCATACCTACTTGGCTAATGGCTCTCAGCACACAATATCATTATTTTTTTTTTTAATGTGGTGCTGAGGATCGAACCCAGTGCCTTATGCATGCCAGACAAGCACGCTACCATTTGAGCCACATCCAGAGTCCTCTGTTTACTTCTTTATTTTTGCTTCCATCCACCCTTTACTTCTTTATTCTTTGCTTCCTTCCACTGAAATGTAAACTACATGGGAACAGCAACTTTTTTCCTTTTATATAGGGGGTTTAACGCAGGGGTACTTCTTTACCACAGAGCTACATCGACAGTCCTTTTAGTTTTAATTTTGTGACAGGGTCACACTAACTTGCTGAGGTTGACCTTGAATTTATGATCCTCCTGCCTTAAGCTGTATCACTGGGATTATAGGATTTGCCTGGCAGCAAATTAAGCACAATTGACAACAATGCTTTTTATGTAATAAATGCTTAATAAATATTTTTGAAAGAGTAAATCAATGAGTGAAACTAAATATACTCAAGACATTTCAGTTTGTTTAGTAGGCTACAAATATTTTTTGAAAAGTTATGTGGTATACTTTGTTCTGGGCACTGATGATGCAACAGTGAAGAAATCCAAGGCCCTCCTTTTGTGGTACTTAGAGTGTGTGTAGGTTGACAAGGAGATGAGTAAATAAATAAATATGTTTTTAAAATGTAGCTGACAAAGTAATTCCTTATGTTGACTTGTGGATATTATCTGGGGTTGCATGTCAAGTACTTCTAAATTTTGTTATCTTTGCTGGGTTTACTTAAAAATTCATTTAAAGAAAAACTATTAAACTTATAGTTCCTATTTTAATATATGGTGAAATGATTGTATTTGAAAAAGGACTTTAAAATAAACTTAAACTAATTTTATTATTATTTTTAATTTATAGATTTTGGAAGCATTTGCCAGTTCTTTGATTCAGAAGAATGTTTTGATGAAAAGGGATATTCCCAATCTAACAAAATACCAGATAATTCTGGCAAGAGATCAATTTAGGAAAAATCCATCTCCAAATATTGTTGTAAGTATTTTAAAATAAATTTTGATGATTGATTTAATTTTTGCCCAGAGCCAGGATAAAATGTAAATGATGAGTTTTAAGCATAGAAGGACTTAGATATGATTTATAGTTTATAAAAGTCTAACAAGAATACAATTTAATGATTTGAATTAAGATAAATTTATCTTTTAACTTTTAATAAAAAATTGATCTTTAAGTCCATTTCTATTTTATAAAGTCATTGAGACCCAGAGCATTTAGTCTTAACTCTTTTTTTTTTTTTTGGTGGTGCTAGGGATTAAATCCAGGGCCTTGTGCCTGTGAGACAAACAAAATACCAACTGAGCTATATCCCCAGCCCTAATCTTATCCTTTTCTTTCTTTATTTATTTGTTTAGTTGGAGATGGATAGCATGCCTTTATTTTATTTGTTTATTTTTATGTGGTGCTAAGAATTGAACCCAGTGCCTCACATGTGCTGGGCAAGCACTCTGCCACTGAGCTACAGCCCCAGTCCTAGTCTTACTCTTAATACTAGTGTTGTAGGGACAAACAAGGCAAGGCACGGAAGATAGCAGGAAACAGTTTTATTTGGCTTCAGCCATGTTCAGAGGGCACAGCTTTTGCTGTAATCAATCTCCTGAAACCCGAGTTCAGGGAGTTTCAGAGTTTTATACCCAGCATGTAAGGGGGAGGGCTCAGAAGTTCAAAGTCTGCAGAAGTTCACAGAAAAGCAGCTTTATCTTTCACTGTTCTGGGCAAGTTAACTCTTCAAGGACATCACTTTAGAAGGGGAGAGCTTCTTCTCTCTTTCTATTTTTCCCCTGCCAGCTGTTACCATGGAGCCCATTTGTAACTTACCTTAAAAATGTAGACATCTCTGTGAAGCCCAGCTCAAGGCCAGAGGCCTTGTTTGCACATTTCTTCAAAGTACTATACTGGATACATTTGTGAAAAACTAGTAAGGGGGTGTCCAGCACCTGGAGTGCTGGTATCTTCTCAGCCAGTGGCCAAGTAAAACAGGGCAACACAAAAATAGGAAGTCTATCTACATTGGACTCTTTCTCAGAGACTCTTTTGCTGACAGTCCTAAAATCAGCCATGGTGGAGAAAGGGGGTGCCCCTTCACTAGCAGTTGGAGAAAATATCACAGCAAGTTTCTTTTTCCTAATCTTCATAGGAAAAAAAGTAGATGAATAGAAAAATATCCATCAAGCTAGGTTCGTAGTCAGAGAGGCTGAGCAGCCTAAGAAGGCAATGAGTCATTCTTGAACTGGGAGGTGATTCATATGCAAAAGAACAGAACCAATTAAAAGAAGGCAGTGATGTGTACCCGTAATCTCAGCAACTTGGGACACTGAGGCAGGAGGATCATAAATTTGAGGCAAGCCTGGGCAACTTCTTAACAAGACCCTCAGTAAACTAGTGAGATCCTGTTTCAAAGTTAAAATTAAAAAGTTCTCCTGGATTCAGTCCCCAGTATCAAAAAATAAAGGATCATTTTCTGTGAAATTTTAGCATGTTATATATAAAACTTTAATAAAAAGGTTTTAATTTCTGCTAGGAGTTCAAAGTTCATTGAAATTTTAAATAATGCTTTTATAACTGTTGAACTTGATCTTATTGGTAAGGGTTTATATTTTATAGAAAGGTGGATTTGCTTTTTTTAGGTTAATTAGGGTGCCATTTTAGGCTTTATTGCTGCCCTGGAAACATTTAAAATGACTGTCACTAATGTTAAATATTTCTAAAAATGTAAGGTAAAACAGTTTTCATCTTGAATAAAGTAAAATAACTAAAATATATTCTTAGTGGACTTCTTTTAAAACTCTCTTATGTGAGTACACTTGTTGCACACTCCCATGAAAGGAATGTATGCTACATTTTTCCACAAGGGTAAGTACTGATTGAAGTACAAGGCCTATTGACCAAATTTCCTGGATTTAAGTACTAACTCTGCTACTTATCACCTTTTTGAGCTTTCCTTTTCTGTAAAATGAGTATAACAATAGTACCTACTTCCTAAATATTAAATTATTTTGTTTGGGTGATATACTTAGAACAGTGTTTAGTGCTCTGTGTCAGATATTATGATGACATGTATACCTGGTATTAAGCCTTGGTGTTCAACAGTCTGATTAAACATTTGTCCTTTTGCTGATAACTTTCATGAGGATAGGTCCAGGACTGACATGTCCATTTCTGTTGTATCTCATATATCCAGCTTAGTGCATATTGTAGGTACTTAATAAATTGTCTTTGTTATTATTATTACTTTTTGGTCCTAGGATTGAACCCTGAGGTGATTTATCACTGGTCTAAACCCAGACCCTTTTATATTTTATTTTGAGACAGGGTCTCAGTATCAGTTTGGGAGGCTGAGACAGGAGAATCACAAGTTCAAGACCGGCCTCAGCAACTTATCGGGATGATTTCAAAATAAAAAAATAAAAAGGACTGGGGATGTAGAACACCTCTCAGTACAACCCCAGCATAGAATATTTAAAAAATAAATAAATAAATAGAAAGGACATGAATCTATAAAGGACTAGTAATTTACCTATAAAGAGAAATAATACGATAAATGTTTTTCTCTCTGTTTTTCTTTAAAATGTAAAGTTTTCAGTTGAATTAAAGACAAAAGTAAGGGGGCACATATTATATGGAAACTTCAGATTTCATATGGAAAGTATACTTTTCTGTACAATGCTGTTTAATAGAACCAGTAAATGTTAGTCTAGCATGGAATAATTATTATGATCATTTAATTTTTTTATAAATGATATACTGACTGTTGGCCTGATAACTTAGGCATGGAGGATATATCTTCATTTCTTTGTTTAAGTGTGATATGTGCTTGTTTTTCTAGGGAAAACAACAAGGCATAATTGAGGGAGAGTTTGCCATTTGTATTAGTTTATATCACGGTTATGAATTATTGCAGCAAATGGGAATGAGATCATTATATTTCTTCCTTTGTGGAATTATGGATGGAACAAAAGGTAAATTATATAAAATTATTTAAAGAAATAATGCACGTGTCATTTTGGTTAAAGACAAATTAACCAATTTGAGTGTCTTAAAAATGCTTTATTCTTAAAAGCAGGGGACTAGTTATGTAATAAATGGCTGTATTTGTTTTTGAAAATTACTGAAAAAGGAAAGTAATTTATTAATATATATGTAACTATGGAATTGGAAAAAGTTGCTGACTTTTTCTTTTTTTAGAGAGAGAGAGAGAGAGAGAGAGAATTTCAATATTTATTTTTTATTTTTTTTTTGTTTTCGGCAGACACAATATCCCTGCCTACATGCGGTGCTGAGGATCGAACCCAGGCCGCATGCATGCCAGGCGAGCACGCTACCACTTGAGCCACATTCCCAGCCCAAAAGTTGCTGACTTTCATGTTTAAATTTGATAAGGTTGGGGCTAGGGGTTGTGGCTCAGCAGTAAAGTGCTCGCCTAGCACGTGCGAGGCCCTGGGTTCGATCCTCAGCACCACATATAAATAATAAAAAATAAAAAGATATGTGTCCAACTACAACTAAAAAATAAATATTTAAAAATAAATAAATAAATAAATTTGATGAGGTCATTGTTTTAAAATTTGCATTCAATGTTGAAGTTTAATTTTTTAATAAATAATAAATCTGACTAGATTGCTATTAAGTTTATTTGTAAATTTTTTTCTAAATTTTAAAGGAATGACACGGGCCAAAAATGAGCTTAGTCGAAATGAGGACTTCATGAAACTCTATAATCATCTAGAGAGCATATTTGCACATACGTGTGATACTTCGACAGGTGACGTTTCTGCTATCCAAAAAGGTCTGATTTAAAACAAAAATTATATATTGGTTTACCAGGAGTGGTGGTACATGCCTGTAGTCCCAGCTACTTGAGAAGCTGAGGCATGAGAATTGCATTAGCCCAGGTTATGTAACACAGCAAGACCATGTCTCAGTATAAAAAACCAGTAATCATTCATATATATATATATATATATATAATGTTTAAAATTACTTTATAAATTAATAAATATATATTTAAAATTAATTTTGAAATTTTGCTCTGTTGATGTAAACGTCTATTTGTATTTATATAACAACAGGTTTAAAGATTTTATTCTGTTAGAATTAATGTAGTCAGCAGTATACATAATAGATATTAGTAGTGGTTACTAATAGTGAAAATTCTCAGAACTGCCAAAAATTGATTTAGAGTTTGACTAATTATGTACTCTTTCCCCTTTTTCAATTTGGATTCTCTTTTAGAATATAAGTTTCATAAAAATTCCAATATTTTCTTCTGATATGCTTATGTGCTATGTAGATGCTACTTACTGTTTAAAATGAGGATGTAGCTCAGCAGTACAGAACTTAGATAGCATGCTTGATGCTCTGGGTTCAATCTCTAAAAAAAAAAAAAAGGAAAATTTTAGCATATGTAATTGAAAAGGATATCTTCATATACATTAGAATAATTAAGATGGAAAAATACTAAGAGAATGTTGATTTCCCCCCCCCCCACAGGAGATAAAGATAGAAAGTTTTTCTATAGTCATCCAAAGTTAAAGAAATTAGAAGAAGTTGTAGTTGAACACTTCAGATCATGGAATGGTAGGTAATAATTTATGATTCAAGGAAAGTTTTGAAAGAACTAAAACTAAATTTGAAGTTGTACTAACTTTTCTTGAAGAAGGTGGATTTTTAATTAAAAGCTCTGAGAAAGTTTGGAAGGGTGGGAGTAAGGGAAATGGTGGGAATGTTAATTAATTGTTCTATGAAAAAATTCAGTTTGGTGCAACACAGGGGAAGAAGGCAATGAAACTTTGTATAATATAGTGGCAGGGAAATGTGAAGTAGGAAAGAAGAGAGAGAAAGAGAGGGAACATCATGGATTAGAGTTATTTTATAGGGCAACTAGAGAAGACCTGCCTCTAGAGTGATAGTGGAGCAAACCTTCAGAATTTCTGGGGGAGGATCATTCCAGGCAGAGTATAGCAGATTCAAAGATCTTGAGGCAGTAGGGTGCTTGGTATGATGATTAAGGACTAGTAAGCAGACCAATGTGGCTATAGTGGTGTGAATGAGGATGAGAGTGGTATAGGTGAGAGGTAGCAAAGGCTAGATCATGCATGCATGGCTGGTAGGCCAACTCAAAACTTGGTTTTTTAATCTATGGCTGTTTATGGTTTTTGAAACCATTACTAGCAGCAAAGAACAGCAAGGATAAATATGTAAGGTAGCACATATGTTTATTAGCTTGATTTAACCGTTCAAAAATGTATGTGTGTATGTATATATACATATGAATATAAAATGTATATCATAAATGTATTTTCACTTGTTAATTAAAAAATACAAGAACAACATAGAGAGGAAAGAGCAAACATGTTAAGATGGTTCTGAGTCATCCAAGTAGAAATGTCAAGTAAGCACTGGACAAATAAATCTGGATTTCAGAAGAATGGTCTGGGCTATTTTTATGTATTTGCATATATATGAATAAATTTTGGAGTCATCAGCATAAAGATAATATTTAAAGTTTCAGGAATGGATGTGATCACCAGGAAGATAGTTTGGAGACAGAAGAGGGTCCAGAATGGTGTCCTGAAGAATAACAGCATTTAGAGTTCAGAGAAAGAAAGCTACCAAGGATCTTGAGGAGGAAACCAAGTGAAGTATGATAGAAGCTGAGGGAAGAGACTATATTAGTAGGAAAGCATGAATAATGTTCAATTTTGCTGAGAAATGTGGTAAAATGAACTGAAAAGTATTCATTGAATTTGGCAATATGAAAGTTGTGGATAGCTTTGGTACAAGGAGCTTCATTGAAATGAGGGTAGAAAGGCAAGCTCCAGTAAGTCGGAGATAGGCTTTGTGGTGAAAGTAGCAGTGTATTGGGAGTTAATAGATAGAAAGGCTTGGTGCAATGACAATTCAAAGGAGGTTTGTCTAGAATAATTTTACTTGTTACAGCTGCTTCCTTCAAGTCCTACTTTTTGCTTATTGTGTGTATTGCTTGTATGGATTCTGAACTTGGTTTGTTGCTTAAATACTATAATTTATATGCATTAGATTAGTCTTTAGGGTTGTAGTGAAGATTAAATTAGTTAATATAAAATATGCGTACTGTAGTCTTTGGCACACATCTGATGGTTAATATAAGTCATAAAAAAGGGCCAGACGTGTGGCACACACCTGGATTCCCAGCAGCTTGAGAGGCTGAGGCAGGAGGATCAAGAGTTCAAAGCCAGCTTCAGCAAAAGCAAAGTGCTAAGCAACTTAATGAGACTCTGTCTCTAAAGAAAGTACAAAATAGGGCTGGAGATGTGGCTCAGTGGTTTAGTGGCCCTGAGTTCAATCCCTACCACTTACAAGTTTTTTTTACTTATTTTTAAATATACTTCAGAGCATAACTCCCCACCACAAAAAAAAAAAAAAGGATTGTAAAAGTCCTAACCAAATTCATAAACAAAAGAAATAATAATAAGCGGTGTGCGGTATAATCTTAGCAGTTTATGAGGCAGGAGGATCACAAGTTCAAGGGCTGGGAATATAGCTCAGTTGGTAGAGTGCTTGCCTCACAAGTTCAAGTTCAGCCTCAACAATGTAATGAGAACTTAAGCAACTTAATGAGACCATGTCTCAAAATAAAAATAAAAAGATTTGGGGATGTGGCTCAGTAGTAATATGCTTCTGGGTTCAATCCCCAGCATACTCTCTGCCACGGGGGGGTGGGGGGGGGATTAGCCTTTATAGGACAAAAAGAAATAATTACCAAAACATCCACTCAAGTTGTAATTATGAATCAATTATCATGTGCAAAAAACTATTTTTTACTTCCTGTTAATCATCAATCCTTTTTAAATAAGAAGAAACTAAACCTCAAAGAAATTTAATACCTTTATTTACAATCACCCAGAAAGGAAGTGGCTTAGTCACAAAAATCATGTTCTTATTAGCTTATTTACTGTCTCCCAAGCGTAGAGACATTGGGAACAGCTTTGGAATTGACTGTAGAGTATATTCTGCATTTATGTTTAGGAATTTCAAGTATAGCAGATTTCGGGATGCATGGCCTATATTAAATTAGTCTTTAGTAAACAGAAGGGCTGGTCAAAAGTGATTCTGATAATTCTTGTGTGATTTATTTAGTATTGTGACAGCCAATGAGAAATAGAGCGCCAGCCTTATTAAAAATTTTTAGAAAATATAGTAAAGAATAGTTAAAATATAGTTAAATATTTTTAAAAAAGAATTATTATTTATTAGTATATAGTTTCAGATTTGTATTTTGACTAGTTCTTATCTAAATGTTTTTCAGAAACTTTTAATTGAAATATTTTCTGTTATATAGCTCAAAACATCTCCGAAAAGAAATTTGGTGAGACCAGAGTTATGATCTTCTCTTCATTTCGAGATAGTGTTCAAGAAATTGCAGAAATGTTTTTACAGCATCAGCCAATTATTAGGGTAATGACTTTTGTTGGCCATGCTTCAGGGAAAAGCATGAAAGGTTTTACTCAGAAGGAGCAACTGGAGGTAAGTATTTTTGGAGGTGATGAAATAAAAATAAAATTGATTATCTTTGTACTTAAGGTTATTTTTATTTTAACGTACTGGCAATTGACTACTGAAAATAATTTTATAGTAAGTATGTGAATAAAGATTATCTTATTTTGAAAGATCAGGTAGTGTTTTAGTGGTTTTGAAAGTTTTATTATTTTTCATAACCTAAAGTATAATAGTTAATATATTATACTAGGTCCATACAATCTAGGTTGGAATTCTACCACTTACAAGTTTTTTTTACTTATTTTTAAATATACTTCACAGCGTTGTTGTAAGCATTAAGTGATATCTTATTGTAGAGTTCTTAGTAAATGCTTTCTATTTAAGTGACTTTAATAATTTCTTCTAAACCAATAATGAGCTTATCTCTTTCATTAGTTACTTAAAAATCTTTTTTTAAAAGAAGGATTTTTTTTAATTTATTTATTTATTTTTTCAGTTGTCCATGGACCTTATTTTATTTATTTATATGGTTCTGAGAATCGAATCCAGTGCCTCCCACATTCTAGGCATGTGCTTTACCACTGAGCTACAACCCCTGCCCTAAAAATCTTAGGTTAGAGGAAACCATAATGTATTTGAGGTAGCCCAGTGCTCTGAATAAGAAGTCATAAATTTAAGAAGTTCTGTGACATTTTGAGGGGGATTTTAGACTATCAATTTTTATAAATCCGTAGGTTTTTGCAGATAAGCTATTTTTAGTCCAAATATCAATAGTTACTTATAAATAGATGTGTCTTTAACGTGCAGTTCATTTCAACAGCTCCTTTCTTGATTTTTTACAATAGTAGTTGAGGAATTCCTCTTTTTTTAAATTTATTAGACTATTAGACTTGTCTGCTCTGTACTCTAAAGAAGCCATTTATGCTTACTGAATATGGTGTGGAAATTTCTTCAGTCCGAAGATAACAACACCTTTACCTGTTGTAACATCAGATTATAAGTAATTTAAAGGGTGTAGACATCTAGTGATTATTGCTAATTTTATTTTATTTCATTATTTATTTATTTATTTATTTTTAACATTTTGGTTTTTTTTAAATTTTTTTTTTAAGAGAGAGAGAATTTAATATTTATTTTTCAGTTCTCAGCGGATACAACATCTTTGTTTGTATGTGGTGCTGAGGATCGAACCCGGGCCGCACACATGCCAGGCGAGCGTGCTACCGCTTGAGCCACATCCCCAGCCCTCTCCCAGTCTTTAATTGGGGTCTGTCTCTCTGTTCTCTCACCCTGGTCCTATCACCTGTTAGAACCTAATTCTCACTGCCCCTGGAATCCCACCACATCTCCTTAAAATACCATCAAAATTATATCAGTTCTTGATCAAAATGCTTCTGTGGTTTGGTTTACAGGGGGAGGGAGGAATGGGGAGAAACAAAAGGTACTGGAGGATGAAATTGACCAAATTATATTATATTGTGTGCATGTAAGAGAATGTAACAACAAATCCCACTATTATATACAATTATAATGTACCAATAAAAATATAAATAAAAATTTAAAAGTCCAAACTGTATAACCTTACACTTACAGCCCTCCCTGATATGGTCCTGTCTTTCCAGATGTAGAATCAATGATTCTAGCATCTTTTTTAATTATTATATTTGTACCAAATGAACACAGTCTTATATTTTGGAGAAGATAAACATTAAATTAGGTTTATATCACCTGCCATTCAATTGGAGAATGAGCCAATACAAAAAATTTGCTTTTGTATTTTGAATTTTAAGTTTTTAGTTTTGCATTTAAATGTTATTCATCATAGATATTCCCATGATTTAAATAATCAACA